AAAGGTATAACAGTGGTTTAAGGTCTAATTGTGTGCCTTGAATAGTTTTTCCAGGTGAAAAGTACATAATAATAACCTAATGACAATGTTTCTAAACAGAACAGTGAAATTAAAAGCTTGGAGATGAGGTGGGCTGTATGGAGTCAACACAACATAGAAAACCATCCTAGTGACAAGAGGGGTCCCGCCCCAGTGAACGTTCCGTACCTTTATTTGGGAGAATGAAATACACCTCCTACTGAAAAAAAGGCCTCAAACAAAGAACAAGATAAGACAAAAATCAGTATATTCAGGTGCCTCAGCTTCTTGTTTGATTCTTGCTTCCAACTTAAATGGTGCAGCAGTTAAGTCCAGGTGCCAGAATGGAATTGCTCCATGATTTAAGGTGAAACTGGAAAAAGCGAATAGGAAGCCAAGTTCAGCCACGTTAACTTTTAGATGTCTCTCCACCGCTGAACAAGAAGCTGAGACACCAGAATGTAACTGCTGCACCATTTAAGGTGGGATGGGGAAATCTGAACAGGAAGCTGGCAAATAGAAATCTGACTTCAGTTAAAAGGCATAAAAAGGATGAGGAGGTTTTTCTGTTTCTGCTTGACAGGTGGGTAACTGAGTTAGTTTTGCTGTTTCACACAACCAATAGTATTGTTTTGTTCCATTTGCTAATGTTTGTAATAGCACCTACCTAACTTTGCAGCAGCAGTTGTGGCAAGAGTTTGCTAACCCACAACCTAGCTAACATTACAGTACTGCTGTGTCGTTGGCTCTAATGTTATATCATGATATTTGCCCCTGCAAAGTTTGAGAAGTGCTTATGACCACAAAGAACTAACAAAACAAATGTGGCAGCCCAGAGTCATTAACCCTGACAATGCGTGTCCATGAATTTGAGGGGCGGAGCTTCTGAAGGAGTACTGAAAGGAGGGGTGTATTAGTATTGAAGTTGATCTCAAATATCAACAGTTGTTCTCCTGAATCATATACTGTGCCTTTAAGAAACCAAAATCATGGTCTATATCATCTTTAGCAGTATCCTTACATTTTCTATTCTCAAAATCTATTACAGCACAGAGTTTACAGTAGAATTACATGTTTATGTGGGGAAAATGATTTATTATCACTGCTCTCTCTTCATCACTGAACTCTCATTTTCTTTTGTTGACGGCTCCTTTAGTTCACTATGCACTTTAATCTCTGAGCCTCACAAGTGAGCAGTTACTGGGTGAGGAAATGTGCAGTTTATGTACTGCAGTCTTAGTAAACTGAATATTAAATTCGGGCATATTGTGGGTGAATGTGTTAGTCACATTAAGGCACATTTCATACTGCACCTGCACTTCATCATAACATTCTAATCAGACGCAAAAACATCACAGACTCAAACAAGAAAAGGCTTTTCTGCTTCATTCTCTTTAACCTCAGTTTCATTCTTGAAATAGCAAAGTTGTTTCCATCAGCTGTTAAACTATTTCTGGTCTGAAATAGCACTCGCCACGTGATATTTCCTCAAAACTATCAGACCAATCAAAACAGCTCACAGCTCTAAAGCGTCCATTCAGGTCACACATGAGGCCTCTTTTACTACTGAACAGATAAGAGATCAGAACATTAGATCTCACTGTCTCTCTGTCTAAACAGCAACAATGATCGGATTACTTTTCACTCTTTGCCTCTTTGTAACTGGTAAGTGATGTTTTGAATGGTTTATATGTTTATATCACTAACATGTTATCAAGCTGCTACATGTACAGTCGCATGTAAAAGTTTCAACACCTCCAGTCAAATTACATGTTTTGTTGATTTCCTAACTGAAAATAAGTAACACATTCTCTACAAGTGACAAACTTAAATATGGCTTTTTCTGCAAATTTTAGTGCACAAAGGAGTTTAATATATTGAAAAAAAAACATACAAAATGTGACATAACGTTTGCATAAGCCACATATGTTGTCATGTTTTTTTACGGTATGTTAAATTCAGCAATAAACAGTAATTGTGCATTAAAATGTGTGCATTAAAACATGTATTTTGATTAGGATCATACAAACCTTTGCATATTATTATAAATAACTGGTTTATTATGACTTTTTTTCCTCAGTGAAAACGGCTGACATCGTTGATCTTCAAGTACAAACAGTGAGGCGGGGAGACAACACGACAATAAAATGTGATCAAAAACCAGCCAAAGATTTAGTTTGGTATCAACAGAGTTTAGGAAAACTGCCTCAGTACATCGTGAGATCATTTGTGACCAAAGAACCAAACTCTTCTGAAAAAGTAAACTACAGATTTGGTAACACATTAAAAAACAGCCACTTCACTGTGGGTGAAGAGATGTTTGATCTCAGCATTAATGGAGTCAAAGAAGAAGATATAGGAATATATTTCTGTGGAAAAGGACAGACAAATACTTTAGAGTTCATATCTGGAACCCTTTTGCTGTTTGCAGGTAACTGTGTTCACACATTCGCTGTAATTGTTGTTGTTGTTTTGTACTGTTTATTGATATTAGCATTATTTCTGTTCATCTGATTTTCATTTCAAAATCCAGTATTGAAAAACTGCAAATGGGTCGATTCTCGTTTTTGATTCTTATTGTCAGTCGAAAAACTAGAAATAGCTTCATTTTACAATTTCACAAACTAATCAAACATTCAAACAACAAACAAACAGCAGTGGAATAAAGGGTCGATTTACTGATTCAGATTAATGATGAATAAACGGGCTGAGTGCCCCCCATGATCGCAGGAGCTCAGAAATCAGGTGGTCGCGTTTAAAAATGATGAGGCCGGGAAAGATCGAGCATGAGTGGTGAGAAGGTCAGTCTAGATGTGGCATTATGGGAGGCTTTATATCGTTTTATATGTGTTTATTGACTTTGTTCTATTAGCAACAAACTGCGCTGACATGCGACACGACTCCCGCCACGCGAGGCGGCGCCTCCGGTTTTGGGGGAAAAGGAGCTTTAGAGGGGCGTTAGAGCTGCGCCGGGGGTCTGAATCAAACAAGGGAATTCAACATTTATCAGGGCTGAACGATTTTGAGGGGGCTTCAGCACCACCTGGCACCGCGCCTGGGTGCGTGTTTAGTTAGTTGGAGGGAGCGGAGGTGATCTTCAGTGCTAACGGGCTGCCCTGTATGAGCCTTTTCTGCAGGGGTCAATAAAGAGCGCTTCTCTAGCAGAATGACAGCCTCTCCTGAGTCTCCTTCACCAAGAGGCTACAGTACTGGTCATTATGACTGAAAGACAGAATGTAATCTAGTGTCCATACGCCTGTACGAAGCGCGCGCACGCATAGGAGGAGTTCAGCACAACACCGCGTCAGCAGCTGATCTGGGGAGCACGAAGCCCCCGTCAAATGGTGGGAGTTCAGGTTCTTCCCTATATCGTTTCTTTCTTATACAGTTTGTGGAGGTCAAATATACAAACACTTATACAGAAAGTAATATAGCCGACCAACAAACCAGAACCACGAGCCTTTATTCCACTGCTGTTTGTTTGTTATTTGATTTTATGATTAATTTATGAAATTAAAACGAAGCCATTTCTTGATTTTTCCACTGACAATAACTGAAACGAGAATCGACCCATTTGCCATTTTTCAATATTGTTTTTTTAATTAAACTCAAATGAACAGAAGATACACAGACCATTTCTCTTTACCTTCTACATTTACTGATCTATTTTAAAGATGAGAAGACTGACCATCATCCTCCACCTGAATCTGCTATCAAGAATGAAGAACCTGTTAAACTCCAGTGTTCAGTACAAGCAGTTACTCTGAACTGTTCAGGAGAACACAGTGTGTACTGGATCAGACATGGATCAGGAGAATCTCATCCAGGAATCATCTACATTCATCCACACACCAGAGATGAGTGTGAGAAAAGCTCTGAGACTGATTCTCCTACACAGAGCTGTGTCTACAAACTCCCCAAGAGAAACCTCAGCCTCTCTGATGCTGGAACTCACTACTGTGGTGTGGCTGAATGTGGAGATGAAGCTAAATCTACTGAAGGAGGTAAATAAATCTTCTACAAGTTAATTTCACTCAAAAATAAAATATGTAGTTTAAAGACTCTTTAATCTCTTGTCTAACAAAACATGATCTCTAGTGGTTTGTTTTGTTTCTGGAATTTTCAGACAATAGCAGCTGGATTGTTGCCTTGGTAACGTCTAATGTGATATCTGTTATTGTGATCATGGTTCTGGGTGGACTCTTATGTAAGAAACAACAAAAAGGTCAGTGTTAAATGTTAATAAGTGTATTTATTTTAATATATTTGTCCTTTCATACTAAATATAGTACTGTGCAAAGGTCTTGGCCACCTGATCAAATTGTTTAAAACATTTATCTGGACAAAACTGAATAAGAATAAACTCAAAGGAACATTAACACAGTAAAAAGACAGGATTTTTTTAGTTCTAAAAAAGTCGTTTATGTCGTCAAAGCTAGTTAGAAGAACAAAGTTTGGTTCCTGATTTCTCGGCGATGCTGACCATCATAATACAGGTTTGTTTAAAGCCGTAACCAGCGCGCCTGATTTACAGTAATGATATAAGAGTTGGGCTGCAATAAAGCGAGTTTTGGAAATGATTAAACAGAAAACAGTTATAAACAAAACATAAACGCACCACTTATAATGTTGATATTGTTTGTATTTATTCTAATATTAGTGTTTTGATCTGAAAAAATAAATTCTAACTGCGCAATGATGATTTTTAAACATTATGTCTTCAGGTGCTGATAACTTTTGTACAGCATTAAAGATGCAAAAATGTTAACAACATTTAAAAGTCATTTTAAAATGTGATTTTTCTCTACAGGTTCTGTCAGTGGTCACCAAGAAAACTCAAAACATGAGGTAAAGTGTGACATTAACACATCTTCATATAATAATAATAAAATCAGAATATTCTGTATGTTATACTGTTATTAATTTTGTGCTACTTCTATTCTGAGCTCTGCTGGTTTGTAATGACTCTTCCTCTGTGTCAGGTTGAGGATACAGATGTTTTGAACTATGCGACTGTGAAATTTGCACAGAAACCTCCTTCCAGAGCACCCAGAGTCAAGGAGAGTCAAGATATTTATTCACAGGTTAAAGTACGATAGTCAATGTAACTGAGAACATTTTCTGTTTCATTGTGTTTAATGTTATTTTACTTTGTGTACTTTGTGTTAATTTGTGTTTTATCTCATTTCACTGGATCTTTTAAACAATCTTTAAGCCAGTCCAGCAAATCACACAATAAATTAAGTTTAACTAGACATGATGGAGAAACTAACTCATCTATATATATATATATATATATATATATAGAGAGAGAGAGAGAGAGAGAGAGAGAGAGAGAGAGAGAGAGAGATAAATATATATAAATAGATATAATTATGTTTTGCTGCCTGCATGAATTTTTATTTTCTTTTTTTATTTATTGCACATGTTTTTGATGAAAAAAGTAATGACAATAAAATTTCATTCATAAAAAGACTGATCTTAGCTACACTGAGTCTTTGTGGATAAGATTGGTGAGTATGTGATACAATCAAACTAAAGCCCAAAACATGGCACATGCCATTAGCCTAATGCTAATATTACATAGGAATTACCTTTAGCAGGCTAACAGAAATGAGCATTATGGTAGTGGTAGAACTTTCATGATAAATGCCACTTATAATGTGAATAAAAACAGTGTCTGGATTAAACATTGCTGTATGTAGGGTGGGTGTGGACGGCTGCCGTGTTCATGATTTAATGATTATGTTTTACAGACATTAAGTCTTTAGTTCTCGCATAAAAGGTTATCACCCTGTAGCATCCCAAACCTGTTGAAACATCTTTCTGTGCAGTTTTTATTGTCCCTCGAATGATGGGATGGCATTAGTATGGAGGCCTGTTTGCTCCACCAAAACAGCATGTATTTGAATCTGCTATTAATAAGTGTGAAAAAATCTACAGACCTCCATGGCTCACATTTAGAGATAAGATTTGAATTCAAAGACTTAAATGTAATGCAAGATGCGCTCAGGCAGCGTCTCTCACTACATCTACTGTCAGGCTGCTTGTGTGGAGAAACTGTGTCAGGTGGGTGAACATGGCTGTAATGTGGTCTTTTAGTTGTTTAGTTAAGATAAGCTCTGTTAGCATAATGAAGCCATTAACTCTGTCACTGACTTTCAGTATAGATCCATAATCTCTCAGTAAATTGATAAGCTAATTGGTAAGCAAGTTTGGCCACACAGGCCGAGTTGGAAAACAGCACTGTTTTCAGGTTTGTCCTCATCTGTAGTGCTCTTGATTTCACAAGTTCATTGTCACCATTACTTTATTCACAACAGAATGGACCTCTGGGTCCATTTCTTTGTACATCAGTGCTTGCTGATGCAATATACAATGCATCACCATAAGGTTCAGGTTTATAGCTTTTATTCATGCAGTAACTCCACTTTTATGTTCCGTCATTGCTGCTGCACTGTCTGCCAGGGAGCTCTTTACAGAAAATACTTCATAAATTTCATTTTCCATGGACAGCGTACCAGAACAAATAATCCCTTAAAATCCCAGGATTATTACATAGTAAGGCTTATTATTTAGTAACTATAGGGACCTCAATGTAAACTGGTTGAGGTATTCTATATAGAAGTGGTTAATAAAACTTTGGGCCCGCTGTTGGGCTCTGGTCATTTAGGGGGTTAACTGAGTACCATTTTTGGTGATTCATTCAGCTGAATCAAAATTCCCTGCATGTACACAACCTGTCCAACAGCCATGACTGAAAATCAGCTGAGATATCCTTACTTGCACACTAGCTGTGTGCAATCATGGGAAGAGCACAGGTCATGTGCACGGTCAAGGCAGTGGAGAGGACGAGCCTAGCCCTGAGCACATGACGTGGGCACATTCTCTGTCACAAGTGAGGAGCTGCATCCTTTGAAGGACGTTGGCTACGAAGGTGTGTCCTTCAAACCCCTGCAAAGGCTGAACTGAAATGAGACAGTCTACTCTATGGTGGATTTCCTGTTTGTGTCGCAGCACCGCTGTTCCCACCCTTACCGCTGCATCATGCAATGCCACTCTTATCAAGTTATTTTACAGTTCTTTAAAGACAGAAACTTTGATTTTATTTTTTCTTTTTTTCATTTATTAGAACTGGAGATGCTTCTGTCTGCTCCTTGCTCCCTAAAACAAAACGGAACATTAGTATATGTTTTGCTTCAGACCACATTGGCTTTTTTTAACATTTGTATCGTAAGCTATTCAACCCAATACATACATTTAAGTGTCTCCTCAGCCACCGTTCGCTCCTCTGTTGACGTTGCCATGTTCTCGAATCTTCACTGGCATGCAATGAACCTCTGGATATGTTGGCTGGTGAAGGATCCACCCATTGGATCTTTCATTGCCTTGGAAAAGAAGGACACATTTCTCAGCCACACATGAGGGAGCCTTCAAAATGGGACAGCCTAGTCGCGCTGCTGTGGCGCAATCTGCCTTCAAATGCAGCCTCCAAAGGACGCAGCCTCTGAACTGGAATATAGCTACAGTCTTTAACTGGCTGTCTCTCTCCAGCGAGGAGACGCGAGGACGCTGATCTGCATGCCACATGCCAGGAGAAAGAGAGCAAGAGACTAAGAGAGAGAAAAGGACTCTCTAAAAAAAGGCTCAGCAAGTCATTTGGTTTTGTTTTGTTTGTTTCATGCTGATGTGTAAATAAATCACTTTTGTTAACTCGTGCTGGTGTTTGTGTGTCTCTCTGTGCTCTTATCAGGTTTCCTAGTCAGTGCGTGTCGGCCCCTTCCCTGGCCGCACCATGTCGGTGGAGGATGCAGGCAGTGCCCCTTTCTGGACAGGTCCTGTGACAGGGAGCTGAGCAAGGCTCTGAGACACATCACAGTTCCAGTGCGAATGCCATTAGTTATGTTTTGTTTGTTTCATTTTCATTTTAATAAAGAATGCAATTTTAAAAAAGGAAAACAAAAAACAAAGGAGCCACTTACTTCATCACTCTTAGGCTACATTCACACAGCAGATAAAAGTGGCCTAAATCGGAATTTTTCACTAAATCTGATTTTTGGCTATTCACAATATCTTTTAAATGTGACCTATATGTGACATTAGCCTGAACAGATCAGCTCCTAAACTGACCTGCATGCGCAAAAGAACATAGCTTCACATAGCGCGCTCCTCTGGAGGTAAACAATCATGACTGCCAACAAATGTGGATCAGTTTCATCTTCGCCAGCATCACAGGAGTGATCATGAAGCTTTATTGACTGACAGCTGGGCTCATCACCCAGAATGTGTTGAAGCCCACTGTAAAAAGGGCACGGTCACTTCTTTGGATCATGTCCTCTGATAATTTAAAGAGTAACTACACCCCACTATTTTCAGCTCCACTCCACCTGGCCCAAGTTTGAAAAATGCTCAAAAATGGGAGAGGCACGCTGGGCGGGGCACTGCAGTAATGTTTGGCTTCGGAGGTGGGGCTGAGAGGGAAACTGGACGGGCTGGGCTGCTGTGTTTTTATGGCTAGCATTAGCTACCAGAACATATGTGAAAGGTTGACGCTGTTGAAAAATATGGAATCAAACAGCACGTTTGCAACTTCGAGTTCTAATAAGAAGCTTTTTTATCACTGCCATCCCCATCTTCAATGAGGAAAGGTGTTTCTGATCAGACAGTGCATCTTGATCTTTACCCGTTTGAGCCACTGACTCAAGCTCATGGGCTCAAACACAATCTGGGTGATGAGCCCAGCTGTCTGTCAATGAAGGTTCATGATCGCTCCTGTGATGCTGGTGAAGATGAAACTGATCTGCATTTACCCGTTTGAGCCACTGACTCAAGCTGCCGAAGAGTTAACACCAGAAAATGATGAGCAGCGAGCGGGAGAGGCGTCTGAATGGTAGAACATTCCCTAAAACCTTTACAGCTAGCTTAGAATGATCTGTTCAGCAGGTCCATATTAGAGACAACCCAAGTCTTGATTTCTTAGATGTACTGAATCCCAAATTAATAAAGTGGATTTCTTCAGACAAGCTATGAAAAACATACTTCTATCAGGCCATTAGAAAACCGTTTCCTTCCATACACATGAACTTGTGGGCACTGTACAAATCTCTCACTTGTTGAGAACATGTGCAGTAGGATGGTGGCTGAGGTATGTTAAAAGTTAATGCAGAAAAAGCTAACCCAATCTTTATAGCCTAAGCTAGTTAGTTTATGCTAGCTGTTCTCTAGCATCACAACCTAGCTTTTAGCATTCTGTCTGTTAGATTCCAAGCACTGAAGTATAACAGGGAGACTTTATCGTACCAAACAGGTTGTTCACAGATGTGACCAGGATGGGGTCTCAGACTGCATCACCGGTCAGACAGGGTGTGCTGCAGTGGCCCTAAATCTTTATGCTCTGCAAGCTGTTTATGGCACTTACTGGTGTTACATCCATTCAGTTCCCCCTCAAATTCACATTCCCCTTCACTAATCAAACCCTCAGCTGTGAACACTCACTGAACAGAAATCAACAGCAAGCAACAGTGGAACTACGGAAAGTGAAAAGATTCAGTGAGTGCGCCCAAGACTTTGATTTGTGAACGAAACCTGAATCGGATGCAACACCGGCAGCTTTATGGAGAGCAAGAATCCTCACTTAATCTGTCCTTCAGGTTACTTACTCATCCGCTGAAGATTAGCAATAAATGCACTAATCATAACATCTTTATTACAAACTAAGCTTAGATTAACTGGGTTATTTACAGACATCTGGCATATCATACTTTTAAAGGTGGTGCTGGGAGTATTTAGATCAGCATGTGAGTGTGGTTATCTCCTCACTCTAGGCTCCTATGCTTTCATATTTATGAGTGCAGCATGAGTAGGGCATCAACAGGGGGCAGCAGCATTGGTTGACTGCATACTGTGATGTGCCATTGTACTTTGGTACTTTATAAATGTTATTTGTACAGTTTGTAAAGATGTGTTCACATTTCAAGCAAGGCTGGTATATTTTATTATGACAGGGCAATGCATTACAGCTGTGAGTGAAAAAAAGGTCTTAGGGTGTAGTTACTCTTTAAACTTTGCTTTCAGAGTTTTAACTGTTCTTTGAAACTGCAGCCTTGTTCTCTAACAGCCACTTTCAGCCATTTCTTTCAAAATGTCTTTGAACATGGAGGGCTTTTCTAATCTTTTTGTACAGAAACATTTACCCCAAAAGTTTCTGAGGTCTCAGCAGCACGAAATTATGAGGAGAGTTGGACGGATGAAAAGTCACATGAATTCCAATCTGGCTGGCTAGATTTATGCTGCATTTACACTGCTCCAGCGCTTCGACGGATGAAAACGGGTCCTCCGCCTTAATTTGGTTGCATGTGGGTGTTACGAGGGAGTGCCCTGTGAAATCTCATTGAAATGTAGTCTTGCTAAGTCAATATTAATGTAAGTAATGCTTCTATTGTTTTGAATATTCAGCAAGTCAACATACTATGCATTATTAGCTAATATTTGTTCCAGAACATCAATAAACTTAAATTGGAAAGATTAGGATTCAGGTCATTGATTACCCTCGAGGGCAACATCAGTCATTTTGGTTTGTTATCATCCAACCAATTATTTTTCCATTCGGATTTTAAATTTTGGAGGTAAACAGGTGTTTTTAAATATATTTAGCTATTTATATTTAAATATATCAGCTTTTGCTGCTGGTACATCTTGTTGCATGGGAATCTTTGAGAAGTGAAATCAATGTTTCATACCTTGAGCTGCAGATATGAATCACGCAAACACCAGCTGCCCCCTGAGACTCGACGCACCGGACCTGTCATGTACCATGAGGCCGTGTCTGACGAAACCCACGAACGGGATATGTTGTGGTGCGTTGAGGGGCTGGAGCGGTGTAGATGTAGCGTGAGTTACGTTGCTGAATATCGGAAAATTTGAAAATGTCAGATTTTATGCGTTTTTTGCTGTTCACACTGCCACACAGATACAACATGTGTGTCACATATATATATAAAAAAAAGATCATATTTGGGCCACTTTTACCTGCTGTGTGAATGCAGCCCTAGACCCACTTGGTCTGCTGTATTGGGCTTTGAGTGGCGAGCTCCAGGACACGTGTGGTGGAGCTGTGGGCTCCTTGCTCTGGGAGCACACAGCAGGCACCCTGGTGCCCTAACATAAACTTACATCGGCCCAGACTTCTGCTGCTGCTGTGTTTTCCCAGAGGATCTGGGGGGTGGTGAGCCCCTGCCTCTGACCACAGGTAGCTGAAGCCCTGGAGTCCTGCACCATGGAGCCCCAATCCACGTGTTGTCTCCCGGCCCTCGCTGGATCATAACTAAATAGGTTAATTGGCGACAGGTCAGTAACATGACTGGATATAAAAAGAGCATCACAGAGAGGCTGAGTCTTTCAGAATTAAAGATGGGGAGGGGTTCTCTACTCTGTGAAAAACTGTGTGGGGAAATAATGCAACAATTCAAGAATTACATTTCTCAACGTAAAATAGCAAAAAACTTGGGAGATTTCATATAAAAAAAATCTCAATCTCTGTATGCAAATGACACTACTGCACTGGAAGTCACTGCATGGGCTCAGGAACACTTCCGAAAAACCACTGTTTGTGAATACAGTTCATCACTGCATCCACATAGCAAATAAGAAATCATATACAAACAGGATCCAGAAACGCTGCTGCCTTCTCTGGGCCTGAACTCATTTAAGATGGACTGAGGTGAAGTGAAAAAGTGTCATGGATGCCGCGTCCTCTGGACTAAAGAGGAGAGGGACCCTCCAGCTTGTTATAAACACACAGTTCAAAAGCATCCGTGATGGTAAGGGGGTGCATTAGTGCACATAGCAAGGGTGAATTGTGCATCTGTGAAGGCATCATTAATGCTGAATGATATATACAGGTTTTTAGAGCAATGTATGCTGTCATACACAGAAAGTCTTTTTCAGCGAAGGCCTTACTTACTTTAGCAAGTCAAACCACATTATGCATACATTTCAACAGGATGGCTCTGTAGTACAAGAGTCCAGTTATTGAACTGGCCTGCCTGCAGTCCAGACCTGTCACCCACTGAAAATACTTTACACATTATGAAACAAATAATTCAACACAGTAGACTCTGAACTGTTGAGCAGCTGAAATCTTATTTCAAGCAAGGATGTGAAAACATTTCACTTTCAAAACTACAGCAATTCGTCTCCTCAGTTCCCAAACACTTAGAGGATGTTGTTGAAAGAAGAGGTGATGGGACACAGTGGTAAACATGCTCTGTCCCAACTTTTTTCAAACATGTTGCTGGCCTCAATTTCAAAATGGGAATGTATTTTTCCAAAAATAATAACATTTCTTAGTTGTAAACTTTCATGTTGTGTTTGTACTACTTTAAATGATTTGCACATTATTGCACTATGTTTTTATATTTTGCACAGCGTCCCAACCTTTTTGGAAACAGAGTCGTAGTATAAGACAAAAGCTGTCTACTGTACTTGCAGCGCCACTGCTAGTCGCTATTCAGCTTCTTTATATCTTGAGAACAACTTAAGTGAGTTACTGTTTTAACCATGTTATCTAGGCAGAAAATTGTAATAGATGTGATCAAAACCATCTCAAGATCAGCAGGGCAAGCAATGCAATGAGTGTAGCAGCAGAACAATAAATAACATAATACATTTTTAGGCCAGTACCTAAGAAATTCATGTTGGTCACATACTACAAACTGCTGACTACTTTTGAAAACAACATGCCAAGATCACATAAAATGAGGAAGGATTGTGCAAACAGTGGGTGGAGAAATTACACGTGTGGCTCATATATGCTCTCCTCTGCCTTTTAAAACCAGCAGTATATTAGCATTGGGGGTATATTGTTGGTCAATACTGTAGTCGTGTCAAGACACATTTCATGCTCAGGGCCTAAATTTCAGTGTGGGATTGCAGGTATTGCTTATAATTTCAGCGATTCCCGTAAATCTACCACTTACAATGCTGGAAATTCCTGCAGACATTTGCAATGATTTTTAATCATTTTCAGCCAATGTTTGCACCAATGTGGAATGTGGGACGGCTGGCCAAATGGACCGACTTCTGCTCTGGACAACGCACTGGAAAAGCCTTGAAAAGAAAGCGTGAGGCAGATTCAGCAAAGAATGTGAAGGCTAATGCTATTCAAGTTGCACGGTTGCAGTGTGAGGAGGAAATGAAGGGGCTTCTCAAAACCGCCTACTTTATAGTAGAAAACAAATGGGCTACTTCAAAATTTGTTCATCTGGTTAAAATCATGAAAGAGCTGGAGTGTCCTTCTTTCAGAAAGCTATATAGTCAAGCTCACAAGTAGTACAAATGTATAAATCCCCCCTATGTGAAACATTTGAGGGAGGAATTCCCCCATTTTGAAACATGAATATCTGGCCCTGATACTGCATCTACACTTGTTTGTACATCTGACCCTCAGATCTGAACTGTAATGTTTAATGTATAAATCTATATAACATTGTAATCAGATACAGAATCATCACAGACTCAAATAAGAAAAGGCTTTTCTGCTTCATTCTCTTTAACCTCAGTTTCATTCTTGAAATAGCAAAGCTGTTTCCATCAGCTGTTAAACTATTTCTGGTCTGAAATAGCACTCGCCACGTGATATTTCCTCAAAACTATCAGACCAATCAAAACAGCTCACAGCTCTAAAACGTCCATTCAGGTCACACATGGGGCCTCTTTTACTACTGAACAGATAAGAGATCAGAACATTAGATCTCACTGTCTCTCTGTCTAAACAGCAACAATGATCGGATTACTTTTCACTCTTTGCCTCTTTGTAACTGGTAAGTGATGTTTTGAATGGTTAATATGTTTATATCACTAACATGTTATCAAGCTGCTACATGTACAGTCGCATGTAAAAGTTTGAACACCTCCAGTCAAATTACATGTTTTGTTGATTTCCTAAAGGAAAATAAGTAACACATTCTCTACAAGGAAAAACTTAAATATGGCATTTTTCTGCAAATTTTAGTGCACAAAGGAGTTTAATATATTGAATAAAAAACATACAAAATGTGACATAACGTTTGCATAAGCCACATATGTTGTCATGTTTGTTACAGTATGTTAAATTCAGCATCAAACAGTAATTGTGCATTAAAATGTGTGCATTAAAACATGTATTTTGATTAGGATCATACAAACCTTTGCATATTATTATAAATAACTGGTTTATTATGACTTTTTTTCCTCAGTGAAAACGGCTGACATCGTTGATCTTCAAGTACAAACAGTGAGGCGGGGAGACAACACGACAATAAAATGTGATCAAAAACCAGCCAAAGATTTAGTTTGGTATCAACAGAGTTTAGGAAAACTGCCTCAGTACATCGTTAGATCATTTGTGACCAAAGAACCAAACTCTTCTGAAAAAGTAAACTACAGATTTGGTAACACATTAAAAAACAGCCACTTCACTGTGGGTGAAGAGATGTTTGATCTCAGCATTAATGGAGTCAAAGAAGAAGATATAGGAATATATTTCTGTGGAAAAGGACAGACAAATACTTTAGAGTTCATATCTGGAACCCTTTTGCTGTTTGCAGGTAACTGTGTTCACAAATTCGCTGTAATTGTTGTTGTTGATGTTGTTTTGTACTGTTTATTGATATTAGCATTATTTCTGTTCATTTGATTTTCATTTCAAAATCCAGTATTGAAAAACGGCAAATGGGTCGACTCTCGTTTTTGATTCTTATTGTCAGTCGAAAAACTAGAAATAGCTTCATTTTACAATTTCACAAACTAATCAAACATTCAAACAACAAACAAACAGCAGTGGAATAAAGGGTCGATTTACTGATTCAGATTAATGATGAATAAACGGGCTGAGTGCCCCCCATGATCGCAGGAGCTCAGAAATCAGGTGGTCGCGTTTAAAAATGATGAGGCCGGGAAAGATCGAGCATGAGTGGTGAGAAGGTCAGTCTAGATGTGGCATTATGGGAGGCTTTATATCGTTTTATATGTGTTTATTGACTTTGTTCTATTAGCAACAAACTGTGCTGACATGCGACACGACTCCCGCCACGCGCGCTGCTCTGAGTTCATAGTGTTCTTCTAATCATGCGGCGGCGGCGCCTCCGGTTTTGGGGGAAAGGAGCTTTAGGGGGGCATTAGAGCTGCGCCGGGGGTCTGAATCAAACAAGGGAATTCAACATTTATGAGGGTTGATAAAGTGGGCGCTGAACGATTTTGAGGGGGCTTCAGCACCACCTGGCACCGCGCCTGGGTGCGTGTTTAGTTAGTTGGAGGGAGCGGAGGTGACCTTCAGTGCTAATGGGCTGCCCTGTATGAGCCTTTTCTGTAGGGGTCAATAAAGAGCGCTTCTCTAGCAGAATGACAGCCTCTCCTGAGTCTCCTTCACCAAGAGGCTACAGTACTGGTCATTATGACTGAAAGACACAATGTAATCTAGTGTATATGCGCCTGTACGAAGCGCGCGCACGCATAGCAGGAGTTCAGCACAACATCGACAGAACACTTCTTGAACTTGAGCGCGTCAGCAGCTGATCTGGGGAGCACGAAGCCCCCGTCAAATGGTGGGAGTTCAGGTTCTTCCCTGTATCGTTCCTTTCTTAAACAGTTTGTGGAGGTCAAATATACAAACACTAATACAGAAAGTAATATAGCCGACTAAATACAGAACCACAGGCCTGATTTCTGTGGTTTCTGAGCTTCCACACCTGCTCTGCACCTTTATTTCCGCTTATAATGGGGAATTCTACATTTGGATTATTAGAATACGAGCCTTTATTCCATTGCTGTTTGTTTTTTATTTGATTTTATGCTTAATTTGTGAAATTGACTGAAAATAACTGAACCAGAAACGAGAATCGACCCATTTGCCATTTTTCAATATTGTTTTTTTAAATGAAACTCAAATGAACAGAAGATACCCCGACCATTTCTCTTTACCTTCTACATTTACTGATCTATTTTAAAGATGAGAAGACTGACCATCATCCTCCACCTGAATCTGCTATCAAGAATGAAGAACCTGTTAAACTCCAGTGTTCAGTACAAGCAGTTACTCTGAGCTGTTCAGGAGAACACAGTGTGTACTGGATCAGACATGGATCAGGAGAATCTCATCCAGGAATCATCTACATTCATCCACACACCAGAGATGAGTGTGAGAAAAGCTCTGAGACTGATTCTCCTACACAGAGCTGTGTCTACAAACTCCCCAAGAGAAACCTCAGCCTCTCTGATGCTGGAACTCACTACTGTGCTGTGGCTGAATGTGAACATGAAGCTAAATCTACTGGAAAAGGTAAATGAAGCTTCTGTAAGTTAATTTCACAGTATATTTACAATTTACATAGTTTAATAGACTCTTGAAACTTCTATCTAACAATACATGATCTGTACTGAACTGTCTTTAATGTACTTGTTTCAGAAAATAACGTCTGGATTGTTGCTGCCTTGATTACGTCCATCGTGATATCCATTATTGTGATTATGGCTCTGACTGTTATGTAAAAAAAAAGGTCAGCTTTAATGTTTATATTGCTGTTAAGTGTTAAAAATATTGACAAATATAGACTCACTTCTAACTGTATTACTGTTGTTTGTATTTATTCTAATCGTGCTTGTTTCTGATAAAAAATGTATAATGTGCAAATAAATAGATTTTAATTTTTTTTTTCTGGTGTCAAAAACTTTTACACAGTACTAAATATGCAAAAACCATAACAACATTTAAAAATAACTGCATAAATTATTTTTTTTTATCTAAAGGTTCTGTCAGTGGTCACCAAGGAAACTCAAAAATGAGGTAAACTGTTCATATACAAATACTCCTTTATTATAACCTACAGTGTATTAAACATCGTCCATTTTATGCTACTTCTATTCTGAGCTCTGCTGGTTTGTAATGACTCTTGTTCTGTGTCAGGTTGAGGATAGAGATGCCTTGAATTATGCGACTGTGAAATTTGCACAGAAACCTCCTTCCAGAGCACCCAGAGTCAAGGAGAGTCAAGACATTTATTCACAGGTTAAAGTACAACAGTCAATGTAACTGCAATCATTTTCTGGTTGATTGTGTTTGATGTTATTTTAATTATTTGACAGTGTCTTAATTTCAAGAAAGATTTCATTTCACTGAATATTTTAAACAGAAATCAATAATATTTATCTATCAAATCACAACAAACAAAGTATAACTAGACATTATTTTACAGAATTTCTGTAAGTGAAGTCAGTCATGCGTGCTCGAACTAACTCATCTAATATGAAGATATAATACAGTGCAGCCTTTTTTGTTCATTGAGCATGTATGTATTATTGCCTGTGTGAGTTTTTCTTTTCTTTTGTACTTATTTTACACGTTATTAATAAAAAAGGAATGTCAATAAAATGGAATATTTTAAATGAGACTATTTTCACTACATGGACAAACAGAAAGTGGTCAGTGTGTTTGGAATAAAACAATCATACTGATCATAACAAGGTTACTTCTGAAACAATACAGTAGCAAGAGCAAGAATATTACATAATTGTACAGTCTACATACAATATTACATGAGCTCCACAATATTACATAATTGTACTCATCCTCTACTCCAGGAGTAACCAGTCTTATCCACTAAGAGCCGGTGTGGCTGCAGGGTTTCATTCTAGCCAAACAGCAGCACCTCATATAACTAAAGATTGTAACAAGTTTCAAGTTTCAGTCTTAAAGCTTTAAGGGGAGATTAAAGTAGTGATGTTGCTTCATGTAAAACTTTATATTGGATAACAAAAAAAAGTAGTGTGAGTGATATTAGGCCACATAGCATAACTGATCTCTATTACAGTCACATTTAAAAAAAAAATAAAATCAGACCTCCTGCCTATATGTGAAAGACTCCTGGGGCTTTGCAGACCCCACTTTGAGAACCATAGCAGTATAGTAAACGGCATGAGACAAAAGCTGTGTACTGTATTGAAGGGCAGTGGTGTTGTGAGTTGCTGTTCAACTCCTTCATTTCTTGAGAACAACTGTAGTAAAGCACTGTTTTAACTATGTTATCAATGCAGCATTTTGCTGTCATTTTTGTATCCACATAAAAAATGAATCAATGGCTATTCCATAGATGAAGGCTAACCAGGTGGTTACGTCAATGGATATGTCCGTCCTGAAATGACCGTATTATAGGACATACAACAAAAGACATACTACTTTTGAGCACAATCAGTATGTGAGCAGTATGTAGTAGACTATTTCAAACACAGCCATGATCACAGAAAATGAGGAAGAATCATATAGAAAGTGGGTTGAGACATTACAAGTGTGGCTGATCCTATATTTCTCTAGCTGTATATAAGCATTAGGGTCTCAAAAGACAAACGTGTTGAAAGATGTTTAACGTCAGAATAACACTCCTTAAACTCTCAGGAACAGTACGTATGTGAGAATGCAGTCTGTGTAGTTGTTTCATAAACTCTATTGTCTAAGATGGAGTAGAATTACACCCCTGTAGGATGTGTAATTCTGTAATAAAAACTATTTATTTGACAGCTACTTCTTCAACAACAAACTCTCTATTCCTCTTGCTGACGGCTCCATTATTTCACTGAGCCTTTTAATCTCTGAGCTGCACAAGTGAGCAGTCAGTGGGTGAGAGTAGATTTTTGTGTAATAAGCTGCAGTCTTAGTAAACTGAATGTTAAATTTAGGCATTTTGTGGATGAATGTTGTAGTTGCATCAAAGCACATTTTGCTCATTCATACATATACATATATAAATCAATACAACATTCTCATCAGATACAGAACTATCACAAAGCAAAGCTGTTTCCATCAGCTGTTAAACTATTTCTGGTCTGAAATAGCACTCGCCACGTGATATTTCCTCAAAACTATCAGACCAATCAAAACAGCTCACAGCTCTAAAACGTCCATTCAGGTCACACATGGGGCCTCTTTTACTACTGAACAGATAAGAGATCAGAACATTAGATCTCACTGTCTCTCTGTCTAAACAGCAACAATGATCGGATTACTTTTCACTCTTTGCCTCTTTGTAACTGGTAAGTGATGTTTTGAATGGTTAATATGTTTATATCACTAACATGTTATCAAGCTGCTACATGTACAGTAGCATGTAAAAGTTTGACACATTATCGACAAGAAAAAACTTAAAAATTGCATGCAAATTTTAATGCACAAATTCTATTTATTTACTGAGTTTAATATATTGGAAAAAATAATACATGAAAAACAAAATGTGACATAACTTTTAAGCCACATATGTTTTAAAATTTATTACAATATGTTAACATTTTGCAAATAAACAGTAATTGTGCATTAAAATCACATAATTTGATCAGGGGCATATAAAACATTGCATATTATTATAAACAACTGCTTTATTATGATTTTTTTTTCTTTTCAGTGAAAATGTCTGACATCGCTGATCTTCGAGTACAAACAGTGAGGTGGGGAGACACGACAATAAAATGTGACCAAAAAGCAGCTAAAGATGATTTATTAGTTTGGTATCAACAGAGTTTAGGAAAACTGCCTCAGTTTCTCGTGAGACCATTTGTGATTGAAGCAAACTCTCCTCAAATATATATATATATATATATATATATATATATATATATATATATTTCTGTGGAAAAGGAAAGACAAATACTTTAGAGTTTATATCTGGAACCCTTTTGCTGTTTGCAGGTAACTGTGTTCACACATTCACTGTAACTGTTCTTATTGTAGTTTTGTACTGATCACTGATATTAACATTATTTCTCTTTATCTTTTACATTAAATAAAGTAAATAAAGCTTCTGTAAGTTAATTTCACTCAAAACTAACATTTCCAGTAGTTAAAAGACGCTTTAATCTCTTATCTAGCAAAACATGATCTCTAGTGATTTTTCTTCAATTCATTTGTTTCTGGACTTTTCAGAAATAAGATCCGGATTGTTGCCTTGGTAACATCTAATGTGATATCTGTTATCGTGATGATGGTTCTGGGTGGACTCTTATGTAAGAAACAACAAAAAGGTCAGCGTTAAATGTTTATAAGTGTTTTATTATAATATATATGTTATTTCATCTTCAATATAGTACTGTGCAAACGTCTTAGGCACCTGAGCAAATTGTTTAAACCATTTATCTGGGCAATACAGGTGATTCTGAATAAGAATGAGTTCAAAGAAACATTAATACAAGAAAAGACACAGGATTTCTTTTTTCAGTAGTTGATTTCTTCGAAGCTAGTTAGAACAAAGTTTGGTTCCTGATTTCTCTGTGATGCCAAACGACATAACATAGGTTTGTTAAAACCGTCACCAGTGCGCCTTATATACCTTAATGATTTAAGAATTGGGCTGCAATGAACAGTGTTTTGGAAATGATTAAACAAAAACACTTCTAAACATAAACGCACTACGTATACTGTTAATGTTGTTTGTATTTATTTTAATACAATAATACTGTTTTTTATTTGATAAAATAAATTCTCACTGCGCAATATGATTTTTAAATCATTTCTTCAGGTGCCGATAACTTTTGTACAGCATTGAAGATGCAAAAATATTACAAATATTTAAAAGTCATTATAAATTTTGTGATTTTTCTCTAAAGGTTCTGTCAGTGGTCACCAAGGAAACTCAAAAAATGAGGTAAAGTGCAAATGTGACATTAACATGACTTTATTTAAACATTTAAATTTAAAACATACAGTATGTTATACTGTCATTAATATTATGCTACGTCTATCCTGAGCTCTGCTGGTGTGTAATGACTCTTGTTCTGTGTCAGGTTGAGGATACAGACGTCTTGAACTATGCGACTGTGAAATTTGCACAGAAACCTCCTTCCAGAGCCCCCAGAGTCAAGGAGAGTCAAGATATTTATTCACAGGTTAAAGTACGATAGTCAGTGTATCTGAGAACATTTTCTGTTTTGTTGTGTTTGATGTTATTTTAATTATTAGACAGTGTTATTTTCCAGAAACATCTTATTTCACTGGATCAATAATAATAATAATAACTAGCAAATCACACAACAAACAAATATACCTATACATGTTAACTATACATGATAGTGAAACTAACTCACTAATATGTTATCTAATATAAAGATATATAGATATAGATATATTGCTGCTTGTATGAGTTTTTCTTTTCTTTTTTACTTATTGTACATATTTTAGCTAAAAAAAAAAGACAATAAAATTGCATTCATAAAACACTGTTTTTTAAATGAGAATATGTTCACCACACAGACAGAAAGAGGTGGCTGTACAATAAAAACAATCCTATTGATCAAACAAAGTTACTTCTTAATCAATACAGTAGCAATAGGTTCAGTATTACATAACTGCACAGTCTCAGTCATTCTCTACTCCAGGAGTAACTAATCTTATCTACACGCCGGTGTGGCTGCAGGTTCATTTCAACCAAACAGCAGCACCTCATATAGCTAATTAACTGTTTGAAGACAGAGACCAGCTGATTAAACAAGTGGAATCAAGTGTGTTTCTGTTTCACTGGAATGAAAAATTGCAGTTACACCGACGCTTTATGGATGAGATTGGTGACTCCTGCTGTAGTGGGTGTCCCATGCTGTACCTGATACAACCATACCAAAGTCCAAAAC